TCCCCTGTAGGGATATGGGTCAGTGAGGGATGTCGTGTCTCTAGTGGGGCCGGCCATATGGTCTTCTCTGTGGATTGTCTGCTCTGAGTGGGAATATCATCCTCAAAGTTTATTGGGCCAGAATGTGCTCCACTCTCTCTTCTTCCCCCTTCATTTGCTCCCGTGTGCTCTGATCAGACATGCTCCTCCCCCTGACCTGCAGCTTCAGTACTGTCCTCTGAAATAAATTCTTCTGGGGGGAGGGACAGGTGTCCAAGTAGTTGGGTTTGAGGCCAGCCCCTGAGACCTCTCCTTCACTTCTGTTTGCAACGTAAGATTGGCTGTATTAATTGCATGGAAGAAATTAGAATCACAAACATACCTAACATTGGTTGTTTATTGAAGCTCAGTTGACTGAGTCTATAATGACACCAGGCAAATCACATGATTTCTAAACAATTGAAGGAGACATTATTTTCTTGTTTGACTTCCTCAACTATGAATATTTCTCTGCAGCACTCAGGTGATATCAATTCTCTGGATTGTAGTGAGCATGAAGATTTCCTTTTCCACCTAGTTGTGTCAGATATTGTTTCAATAACCTGATGAAAACAGTCAGCCTAAATTATTTTGAACAGTGAATTTTGCCTTAAATTTATTTGAATCAGAGACCCGGTAAAGAATTGGAAGAAAGGTGGAAGTTGATTCTGTATCAATAGGTACTACAAATTCAGTGACAGTGAGGTTCATTTGGTTTGGGGACAAGCTTTACCTTTTCTTTTAGATGATTCAGTTCTTGTAACTTTTCCCTGTTTGGAGTTTGAACTCTTTATTTTCAGTTCTGAATAAATGACCTGTTCTTGTAGCTCTGGAGATTAAAACAGAGAGAGAGCCTACATTATTCCTCAGAAAGAAAGCATGTAGGTTATCAATATGCATGAAGAGAGCTTAACAGAATGGAATTCTTGATAAGCAAAAAGAAATTGATTCGGTATTTTTTCTTACTATCTAAAATGAAATTATTTAAATGTTCTTACTCTATAAAATGTAAATTATTTGAGATAACATCTTGGAAATACATTAGACATGATTTATATAAATTCTTTGATGAAATCATAAATAAAACAGATTTAGGAATTAAGGAGAAATTACACTTACTTTTCGGGGGAATCTGCTTCTTGGCAGAAAGATGTTTCACATCTTTAGGTTTTGCAGAGTTTTCATTCATCGCTGAAAAATTTTTAAAACTTTGAGGGTTTTTTCTTTAACACAATTTTCACATTCTTTCCTCCCTAGGTTTTCTTTAAATCACCAAAAACTAGATTTCAGTTAACAGTGTATGTCTCAAACTTTCTTAAGCAATACAATAAGATTATTTTATATTTCCTATGCCTAAAATAATACATTTAGGTGGTGTTTTTTCAACAAGTGTTTCAGTTTTCCAAATATTTTTTAACTTTAATGTAAAACATACATATATACTTATGTGTGACATATAATATATATTTTCATATAATCCATGGAATATTTATCCCTCTCCCTTTCTGAAGTCATTTGTATTACCTAAGTCGATAGTGTTTTACAATGTGTAATTCTAAAATTTTCT